AACCTTGGTGTCCCTGTGGTTTAATTCATTCAGCTGTTTTATTCTTTTTCCCTATGGATGACCAAATGATGGTCTTGACACTGAAGTGGAAGCCAAGGGCCTCTGAGCCCTAGCCTGGTACTAATTTGGTTTCCCTTTGTAGCATTAGCCAGGACGGTTTTTATCAACCAGTGATGTGAGAGTAAGCCTGTGAGACATTTCGAGAAGAAAAATGCGTTGCACTGCCGTTGTAATTGTTCTTTCAAGTAACTTGTCATTCATTTGCAGTTTCATAAAACCACCTGTTTTGCTATCTTCTCTTTTAGAGAGTGTCATCATTCACCAGTTACGCATGAACTCTAGATGAGTTACCGCCCCCACTACACGCGCTCTGTGTGCACTACCCTCCTTGCCAGTTGGATGGATCACTGTAGAAGCTCTCTACCATCAACACCAGGGTCACTTGTGCTACTGATTATTCGTGGAAGTATTTATGGCTTCCATTAGATTTTATATATTTTTTCTTGGTAGAGCTTTAAGAATGAAGGGCCTTGCTGATATTTTGAAAGTACATAGTCAGAGAGAGAGAAGCAGTCTTTCTGCCAGCTGAATTTCACTTTTATTTGCAAAGCCTAAGGCACGTGCTTGATTTTGTTTGATGTTTGCCATATAATTTATTTTTATAATACACTTTGTAAAGTAACTGTCCCAAAGTTGCAATTCCTGTTGTCCATGGCGCGTTTATTTGTAGAATACACTGTCAAATTCGCAATTTGATATTTTTGTAATAGAGAGTATGTAAAGAAAGAAAAATTTAACTTCAACAATGTTTTGTGTTTAAATGGAAAAATATTCAGCGCATTTTTTTTGCCACCATGAGATTCTGTGAGACTAAATACTCTGAAGACTGCTGTATGGAATTTGTACTATTGCGGAATATTTCTTGCACTGTGTGACGGTTTGGCATAATTTTAAGTATTAAAGTCCAATGCCTTGAAATACAACCAGATTTACTCATTTTAAACAATGTAAGCCAGTTTTTAAAGCTGTGATTTTTTTTTCTATATAATGTATGTTTTTACTTCTGCCTGTACCAAAAAAAGTTGATTTTCATTACACTGTAACTAATAAATTTTCACAACTATGCAAAGGTAATCAAGTGTTTGAATTTTAACTCTAATTTCTTAAGGTTGACAGTACTCACAATATGTATTTGTTTATAGGGTCAGAACGTATGCCTTTGGAAGTTACTTTTTCTGACTGGTATTTCACTGCGGTATCACAGTGATGTACACAGTAAAACTGATTCAGATGTCAAGATACAAGAGGGATCTGTCACCAAGACCTTAATGACTTCATGGTTTCTAACCTTGCGCTTTCACTGCATTGGCAGAGCTGTTCTGTTGGTACCATCAGAATATTTAGTCTGGGACTAATAGGACTGTATAAATGAGATGCCACGCACTCTGCCATATGCTGAAGGGCGCATTTTACACTGGTGGCTGGAGCTTTTCAAATAGCATCCAGAGAGTTCCGTGGCAGCTATACTTAAAATGATTTTTGAATGAATTATATATAAAGCTGGATGCAACCCAGGCAGGGTCTTTTTTTCTTATACATTTCATAATAAATTACTTTTAATCTAAGTCATTGGCACATTTTTAAAATACTGCAAATTTTTTAATTGCAGGAGCTACTGGGAGAAGCTATTTTTTGGAAGGGGAAACGGTGTTGCTTGCAGGAGATATGCTGTGGGACGCCAGAAGGAGTGCATTAACTCAGCGTCCCACAGAGATGAGTAGGCCAGTTCATTTCTGAAGCCATAATAACGCACTGCTATGTAGTCAGTTTGATCTTCATGGTTTAGTTTGCTTGCCGGCCATGGGAGCTGTTTTATTCTTCTAGATACGAGTTCTGCAGCAAATGCTGACATTGTAGAGAGGCAGGATATTCTGGGACCTGTATAAACTTTCTTGGAGTTGATCAGCATTGTAAAGAGTTTGCTAATACAGCTGTACTGAGTAACCAAAATAAATGCTGCTTATCCTTGCAAAAGAGTCATTTTATTGGCATATCTTATACTTCAGCTGGTACACCAAGTTTTTTAAGGAGTGGTTTTTTTTTTTCTTATGGCAGACAACGTATGCCAATAACATAGCTGTGGCTGTAGATCATATTTTAGAGTGAACTGAGAAGAATTCCAGCTTTCAGAGAGTAATAATACAGCTGAGGTGAATAAAGTTTAGTGTGTGCCACATTTCAATTTACTGCGCAGTAGAATGATTATTATTAATGTTCACATTGTAATGACCCAGATCTTCTATTTTCAAAGCCTTACTTGGGAATCAAAAGCTATTCATGTTAAGGACTATACTGAGCTCATCTGGAATGAAATTGCCAGTTGAGTCCAGATTTAAAAGGTCCCAGCCGAAGTAGAAAATATTTTTCCTTGTCTATATTTTAATATAAAGCCAATTCAGTATGAGTGTATGTATAAGTCGTCCCCTTTTGTTTTATAATTCCTAAACGAATACATAAACATTTATGGTTTCGCAAATACATTAAGTTTTTAAGCTTTAAAATAATAAAGGTTTGTTTAAAGCATAAATACAGTCGTGGTGTATTTGAAATCATTCAGATTTTAAAATATTTTCAATGAACTGCAGCACTTTGGAGTAGGAGACTGGTAACACTGGTTATCCATGGTGATACACACTGCTTCATCGCTGTTAATGGTTTATGCAGGCAGAATAATAAATTCTGATCTGACACCTGGCAAGCAGCTACAGTATTTCACAAAATGCCCGGAGGGTAAAACTCTTGTGTGCAAAGGGTGTATTTCATCTTCAATGCATTTATCTTCCTGGTCAATTTTTTACATTACCTAATTTGGATTTGAATCTAAAACAAGTAAGTAAAGAAAGTGCATTAGCCACATAATTAGCCTATATTTTGGGGACACTCAGGAAGAAATCTATTAATATAGAGTAAAGATGTGCTTAATTTCTACAAGTATTGTCATTTTAAAGGAAGTAACTAGGAAGTGCTTTCAGATGAAGACAATGTAGAGGCTATCTTGGGCTATAGATATCAGTAGCTTTTAAGCAACTGAAAACCGGTGAAAGATGTACTTTTCTCTTAAAGATCTCCTGCTGTCTAAACAGGATTGAAAGACCTGTGTTAGTATAATTATAGGTGATAAAATATGATGTTTCAATCTATTAAAAAAAATCTCAAATACTTTTATTTCTAGAGAAAATCTCCACAACCAGTGAGTTTTCCTTTTGCCTCATTGTGAAACATAATTGGACCAAAGAGGAGACAAACTGCCTGTTTTCTCTAACGTAGATAACAAGATATCAAATGGAGGTTACTGCCCTGAATGTTCTGCCTCCTACTGTGAATGGGTTTATCTCTTCTTCTGAACAGTAACATTTAAGTTGAAAACTTCATATTTAATGCTTTAAGTTATGTAGATTTCTCCCTGAAATAATCTGTTTGGCAGTTCATGCATTTTATTTGCCTTGCCTGTTCTAAATATTAGTGGGTTTAACAGCATAAGGTCTTATTTCTTTAATTTTATTTTAAAAAGTATTAATTATTTACATCTTTCCTATAAATAAGTGGACAATGTGATAGGATAAGTGCCAGAAGATGACCATTTAAAAAGTAAATGCCAATTGGTGGTCTTTTAGAGTAACTACAATACATTCATTTTTGTACAATTTTAAGGCACATTTTATACCCCTGAAATCAGACTTCAGTTTTCAAATTAAAATTCTGTAATATTAGCATTTATGCTTGGGTAATCTGACACATATTTGCTTCTTCTTGCCTTAAAGGTTAACAAATGTAACACACTGAGGCCTTGACTGTGTAAGATGTCTGTGTATCACTCATTGCTCAGTCAATGCCTAATAAATCAGCTTGTCATTCCACATATTAAAAAGGAACATTATAAGTGTATGTTTTTATAAGTATTTTTCTTTTTTTTTTTTTCTGTACCCATTTGTCTTATAACTGCACACAAACCAGCGTGAAGTGCGCTACATCGCACAGCACTTCATTGTGAGATTTCATGAACATGAAATTTGTTGGTTGCACTTGCCTGGATATAAAGGAATTTGTCCTAGTGTAAAACTGTGGAATAATATCTGACCAAGACCTTAGCTTAGCGGTAAAAAGTAAAACCCATATATTGCAGTATTTATGCTGATATTCTTTATTTCTCTAACGAAAGGAAGTAAGATATACCCTGTGATTGCATCCAGTTATGCTACTGAGGATATAATTATTTTGATAAAATATTTATTATATATATAATATTTATTTTGAGAAAAAGAAAACTCATGCTTCTAATTAACCTAGTTGTTACAGTGCAAAGTGTACGCGTAGGCCAAGCTTACAGACAAACATATGGCCTTAGGTACAAGTAGTTGAAAAGAGAGCTATAACTGGCTAATAACAGTGGATCTGATCCGTGTGGTACGTTGGTTTTTCTATTTCACGTCACGCAGAATGGCAAGCAGAGATCAGTTCAGACACCTCACGTCAGTGGTTGCTTTGTCAGTGTGGCGGTACTTACCCTCGCATCAGGACGTGGCCGCGAGGATGCGTACCGTGCCACACCTTGCTAAATTTGAGCAGTTCAAAATCGGGCAGCAGCTGATTGCACTGGGATGGAAAGGAGGAGGTTCTCCTGTTCTCTCCTTTTTTCCACATTTCCCAGATTTAACCCAGGCTTTTGTGGCTATGGGTATATATAAGCGCATCATTTGACACAAATGGAGCAAACCAGCACATAAAAATTCTAGGGCTCTTCCCATCTCCATCGGTCATAATTTGAAGTTTTCCTGGACTGGATTTAGTCTGGCCCCTAGGCGAAATGTCTCCCTTGCAGGCCGTTTTGAAACTTGTGGAAGGAGAACTTTCACATCAACCTGTGTTTGCTTGACTGAGGGCCTCTCTGCAAGATCCTCTAGGAAGCGCCCCACTGTTCTTCTGCCCGTTTCACACGAATGATGGTACCACACCAGCGAGCCATCACCGTGGCCCACAGCATCACTACTGCGGCTGTTCCCCAACCGCTGACAGAGCCTGTGCCCAGTTTAACCACTGCAGAACAGATCCCCACGTGCCCTTTCTTTGCCTGTCCTCTCATACTGGGCAGCATGAGATTCCCAACTTCCCAATATTGCCCCTCGGCTATCCTGCTGCCGGAGAAATTCCTTGCCATCTCACAGCACCGGTGTACAAGCAGTCTTGTTCCCTTGGGATCCCAGGTCGCACCTCACTGGTTTTTCTGTGAGGCTGAGGGAGTAAAAGTTGCTATAGCTGGAGCTGGTAACCGAAAACAAAAGCTAACCAAGAAAAGGGTGGTAATAGGGGCGAGGGGCTTCCCTAGGGGGAATGACAGCAGAAGTTAGGGCCCACAAGATAACGGAAAGGATAAATTAGGAATGAGATATAGCTTTAGCACAGATGCCACAAGGAATACGATTAATTTTTGAACCCTAAATAATTATTTAGGCACCAAATTAATTCTTAAATTTTAGATGCTTAAGCGCCCGAATTCCCTATGCTGTCTGTGAAGA